TTTTTCACTTAAAATTAGTTTTTATACAATTAGTTAAATATTCTTTGAGTAAAATATTTACTAGTTACACTTTCTGGCTTGCTGTTGCTCTTGCTTTTGTTTTCCTTTGTTTCCTATACATAAAACATGCTTTTTTGTTTGTTTGTTTTGAGACTGGATTCTCCGTGTAGCCTTGGAACTTACTCTGTAGACCAGGCTGGCCTTGAACTCACAGAGATCCACCGGCCTCTGCCTCCCAAGTGCTAGGATTAAAGGCGTACATCACCACCATCCTACTTTGCCCCACCCATTTTATTTATTTATTTATTTATTTAATGTTTTTTCAAGACAGGGTTTCTTTGTGTGACAGCCCTAGCTGTCATGGAACTAGCTCTGTAGACCAGGCTGGCCTCAAACTCACAAAGATCCACCTGACTCTGCCTCCCGAGAGCTGGGATTAAAGATGTGTACCACCACCACCTAGTTTATATATACTCCATTCTATAATGAACTTGTCTAGTAGTATAAAATTGAAACAAGGACAAGAACAAGCAGCAAATTTGTTGAACTTTGGTACTGTCCTTCTATAACACTGATTACCTGCACAGAAATAGCAGTAGTAGCCACTTGTGTTGGAGTGTAAGTTGGTGTGAATATGTGACATTCTGGGTAGCATCCCATGAGTGCCCCTTCTTGAGAATTTACATGAAAGTGCTGTGTGGCTCAGAAACACAGGCCTATGTTGCTTCTTAATGACTTCAAACTCCTAGAATCAGACATTTTGCAAGTATGTTTGGATCATAGTTGAACATCTAGCCACACAAAATTGTAGGATCAGATGCAGTGTTCTCTACTTGAATAATAATTGGGTGGTTGGATGCTGAGAAACTCAAAGTAGCCATAGTAGTCCACATTGAGGAGTTATAGTCATAGTAGAACAGGAATGCAGGGCGTGTTTAAAGCTTATGAGCCTGTGGAATAAAGTGAAATTATAGACACATTTATTCTTTCAAGTGTAGTCAGCTCTCCACATGTGTGAATTCTACCCCATGAATTCAGACAGCCGAGGATTGAAAACATGGCTAGGCCTTGGTGGCTGTGTCTGAACTGAACACAGGCAAGGCTTTATATTGTCATTATTCATTGAACTATGCACAATAGCGACTGCTTACATAACATTAGGTATTATAAGTGATTGTATAGGAAGATTGCATAGCTTATATTATGACATACCATTTTATGTATAGGATTTGAGTATCCCCAGATTTTGGTATCCATGGAGGGTTCTGTAACCAGTCACCAAGAGATACTGACAGACAACATTATTATATATAATGGCAGTGTACCTGCTCTTTAGAGAATTCATAGTTTCTATCTTTAACCACTTAATTATAGAAGAAATGTGTGGAGTACAGTTATAAAACATTTTATTCATAATTTGTCATAATATTTGGAGGTGTAATTTTATTGATAATGAAGATTGTTGTTGTCTTAGTTTGATTTATCTATTGATAAAACATCATGACCAAAAGTATCCTGGGGATGAAAGGCATTTATTTCATCTTACACTTTCAGGTAGCAAGCTACCACTGAGGTGTCAGGACAGGAACCTAGAGATAGGACCTCAGGCAGGGCAGGAACCAGAAGACAGGACCTCAAGTAGGGCAGGAAACCAGAGACAGGGACTCAAGTAGGGCAGGAACTAGGAGACAGGACCTCAGGCAGGGCAGGAACCTGGAGACAGGGACTCAAGCAGGGCAGGAACCTGGAGACAAGCTAAAGTAGCCACCACCATGAAGAAATGTTAATGTTTACTCAGCCAGCTTTCTTATATAACACAGATCACCTGCCCAGGGATTATTTCATCTTACACTTTCAGGTAGCAAGCTACCACTGAGGTGTCAGGACAGGAACCTAGAGATAGGACCTCAGGCAGGGCAGGAACCAGAAGACAGGACCTCAAGTAGGGCAGGAAACCAGAGACAGGGACTCAAGTAGGGCAGGAACTAGGAGACAGGACCTCAGGCAGGGCAGGAACCTGGAGACAAGCTAAAGTAGCCACCACCGTGAAGAAATGTTAATGTTTACTCAGCCAGTTTTCTTATATAACACAGATCACCTGCCCAGGGGTAGCTCACATCAATCAAGAGATGCTCAACAGGCTCATCTACAGCCTAATCTTACAGCGACGTTTTCTCAGTTGTGGTTCACTCTTCCCAAATGACCCTAGCTAATGTCAAGTTGAAAACAAAGCAAAACAAATCAGTAATCTAAGCAGGACAACTGGAAAACACAGGGAAGCTAAAGGAAAATTAGAAAGGCCAGTGTTAGTATGTCAAAAAACTAAAGTATTTCTGGGATGTGATGGGAAAGGAAGAAGGAAATGGAACTTCCCTCTTACACTGAGTTAGGAAGCCAAATGAGGCTGAGGAAGAAGAAAGTCAATGTTAGGACCAGCTTCCTCTATCCATGACCAGATAGTTAAGCCCTATTCCTTTTAAAATCCCACTAGTTCTGTATTACCAAGTTGCATGATTCTGGGTTCTCCTAAAGGATCTTTTAACTACTTAACATAAACTACAAAGCTCATTATCAGGAGCTATGCCAATATTACAATGGTAGGTGCTTAGGCATGCAACTTGAATCTGCTTCATGGGAAGAAAGGAAAGGGAGGGAGGAAAAGGGAGAGAGGCAATCATATGATTGTCATTGTTAATAAATGAAATATTGTGTCTTAGTCTAGTGAAATTTTAAAGAGCTCATAAAGTTGATCAATCAGATTGGATGACAATTTTCTATACTTTTGGTTACCAGCCTTCTACAACTTCTATTATAAATAAAACAAATTCTAAAGCTGATACTATGGTATTTATATTCAAATAAATATTTTCATTAATGTAACCATGTTATAGTTCAGGATAATTGCTAGCTACAGTAAAGCATCAATTTGGCAAGTCATGTAATTAGCTACTCACATACTAATTGGCTGGATTGCCAAACTTTAAGCCAAGTGTTCAACGTGAGGACTTTGCTAACTAGGCATGCTGTACCTTTAGTAGACTACTGAGAGAATAGATGTTCCCCGAGGAATTTAATTCTAATTAAAGAACAAATTCACATCAATACTTTGTTCTTCAAATGGTTTGAATTTCTAATATGACTTGTAAGGTAAAAGACACAAAGATAAAAGAAACAAACTCGAAATTTTTCCCAGACATGGAGAACACAGCAATGTATATTGTAGTTTTTTTCCTGTTTTTTTTTTTATTTAAATTAGAAACAAGCTTCTTTTACATGTCAGTCTCAGTTCCCTCTCCCTCCCCACTCCCCTGCCTCCCACTGAACCCCCCATCCCAACCCCTTTCTGCTCCGTCATATCATTTGGAGCAGGGCCTAGACTCTCCCCAGTGTGTCTAGGCTGCAAGAGTATCCCTCTATGAGGAGAGGGCTCCCAAAGTCCATTTGTGTACTAGGGGTAAATACTGATCCACTACCAGGGGCACCATGGATTGTGGATTCATCCAAACTGACCTTCTCCTTCAGGAGGTCTGGAACAGCCCATGCTGGTTTCCCAGCTCTCAGTCTGGGGTCCATGAACAACCCCTTGTTCAGGTCACCTGTTTCTGTGAGTTTCTCCAGCCTGTTTTTGACCCCTTTGCTCATCACTCCTTCCTCTCTGCATCTGGATTCCAGTGTTCAGCTCAGTGTTTAGCTGTGGGTGTCTGTATCTGCTTCCATCAGCTACTGGATGAAGGCACTAGGATGGCATATAAGGTAGTCATCAATCTCATTATCGGAGAAGGGCATTTAAGGTAGCCTCTCTACTATTGCTTAGATTGTTAGTTGGGGTTGACCTTGTAGATCTCTGGACATTTCCCTAGTGCCATAATTCTCTTAAAACTATAATGGCTCCCTGTATGATGGTATCTCTTTTCTTGCTCTCCTCCATTCTTTCCTTGACTCCATCTTCCTGCTCCCTCATGTCCTCCCCTCCCCTCACCTTCTTCCCTTCTCTTTCTTCTAACTCCCCCTTCCCTCCCCCCCATGATCTCCATTAGCTTAGGAGATCTTACCTCTTTTCCCTTCTCTGGGGGACCATGTGTGTCTCTCTTAGGGTCCTCCTTTTCTAGATTCTCTGGCGGTGTGGATTGTAGGCTGCTACTTCTTTGCTCTAGATCTAAAATCCATATATGAGTGAGTCCATACCATTTTTGTCTTTTTGGGAATGGGTTACCTCACTCAGGATGGTTTCTTCTAGCTCCATCCATTTGCCTGAAAATTTCAAGATTCTGTTGTTCCCCCCCACCACCCCCTGCTTCAGGATGGTTTCTTCTAGCTCCATCCATTTGCCTGAAAATTTCAAGATTCCGTTGTTCCCCCCCCACCCCCTGCTGAGTAGTACTCCATTGTGTAAATGTACCTCATTTTCTCCATCCATTCATCCACCAAAGAAAATCTCAAGTATAATGTAGTTTTTGAAACTCCAATAGTTGTCTGTGCCATACTCCCTGTTATCTTCTGGGGAAAAAAAATCAGTAATTGACCCCAGGGCTTGTCTGTGGCATACTTCCTGTTGTCCTTTGGAAGAAAACAATAGTTGAGAGTGCACCTAAGTAGTGACTTTTCTTATTTGTGGTGTTCACACTTGCTTGTCTGTGGCATACTTCCTGTTGTCCTTTGGAAGAAAACAATAGTTGGTTGAGAGTGCACCTGAGTAGTGACTTTTCTTATTTGTGGTGTTCACACTTTCTGTCTTTGAGAAGTTTTATTACTTGGTACTGATGGAACTGTTCTACACACTTTTCCCAGTTATCCTCACAACAGCTTTATGGCCTCAGGGCTGCCATCCAGATGTGAAAGGTGATGGCAGGGACAGAGTTAGTTGCCTTCCAGATGTGGGAGGTAAGGGTAGAGACTAAGTTGTTCCTAGTACCACAGTTCTGAAGTCTGAACATCAGCTGAGGAGTTGGACTTCAGGTGACCTCTGTTTTAGTCTAACTCTTGACTATTTTATACTCCAGTTGCATGAAGTCCACATTATACTCATGAAGGTGTTACTCTGGAAGAATGACAAGAAGCAGGCAGTTTCTCTGGTACTTTCTAACCTCATGGATAAGCTTGTGGATTTGGGTGATGTCTTTGATCTGAGACCCACTACAGCACAATGTAAGTGCTAGAGACTCAAGCTTGTGCTAGCATACGCTTTTCAGAGACTGGCTGTATCAGAAAACTTAAGTGACATCAAATGCCTTCGAGAACATTATGAGTGAGTGTTGTGAACATTATGAGTGTGTGTTGTCACAGGTACACTTGAAAGCATTTGTGCAGTTTTATTTTCAGAAAGTGATTGTTGTTCTGTCCTGTTTCATAGTAGAGAAAGCAACATTTAATAGTAATAACAAAACTTAGGAATAAATATGTTCTATTATTATTATTAATTACTGTTGTGTTATAGTTTGTTTGTGTTCTGACAAATAAAGCTTTCCTGGACATCAGAGGGTGGTGCTAGCCACTAGTTAACCATGGAAGCTGGCTGGTGGTGGCTCCTCAGGCCTATAATTCCAGCACTTGGGAGGTGAAGTGATAAGGTGGGGTGGAGACAGGTAGGAAGCAACTGGCAGCTGCTACCGGTTTTCCGATCTTCAAGGTTTTTACCATGATATCTGACGCCTGATTTTTTTATTAAGATTAATTAGATTGAGTCTTCAAACCACTCTGAATAGTATGTACTATAATTTCAGTAGATCATAATCTATCACAAAATGCTACTATGAAGAAAATGAGCCAGTGACATGACTCAGCAGATAAAGACACTTGCCATGTAAACCGGACATTCTAAAAAAAAAGGAAAAGAAGAGGGGAGGGGAGGGGAAGAGAAGAGGAAGAGAGAAAGAAGCAGAGACAGTGGAGGAAGAGCCAAAATGAAGAATACATGTTCTCAGCAGTTTTTGTTTCAATACTAATTTATATCAGGTGATTGATTTAACGATTTATTAATTCTAAGAAAAGAACTGAAGCTTTAGAGGATATGTATGACAGAGTTACTTTATCAAACCCTTCAGAATTTTTTGGACAGTTAACCTCCGCACAGATTTTTGTTAGCGGCCCTGACAACACAAAACAGGGGTCTGTAAATTCCCCACTTGTACTGCTTGAGCATGAAATGGTTTTATTGTGATGTCTAAATTAATCCCTGGTACTTTTGCCTTTGTTCTCTTATCCATGCTTATAACCTAATTACAATCATTTGCCTAATTTTTTTTTGAGACAAGATTTTCTTGTTATGATCCCACAATGTCCCTAAACTACTAAATAGCCCAGGCTGCCCTCAGACTTCCAACCTCCCTGCCTTCCAGTCTCAGCCTCCTGGGAACAGAGGTTATAGGCATAGTTTAAGGTGGAAATCTAAAGGAAATGGCAAGTACCCAAGAAGAAAGCATGGCTGTTGAATGGTGTGTGGGTTCTTAATTGAAGAGAACATTGAAATAAGCTTTAAGTTGTTTTTTTACATACCAAATTTCTGCCTTTTTCTAACTTCACATCCAGCAGCTTGAAACTCTGTCCCAACAGCTCCTCCTGTGAAATGTTAAAGTCTCCAAATAGAACAGTGTTGGCCACTGGAAATAGCTATATTAGATTTACTTTTTCATAATAATAGCAATCTCGGAGTACCATCAGCACACAACTAAAACATGGGACATGACACTATAGCTTTATGGAACTTATTTTTTAAATAGTATTTTGCAAACATTCTTTGAAGGATTTTGAAAACATTTGCTTTAAGTTCCTTCCTTTTAGTTTTCAGCAAGTGGAAGTTAAAGAGTGATCCTAGACACAACCCTTAAGTTCCCTCACGTGTAGGTTCAAGTAAGCCATTATAATTATTTAAAAATACATTTTGTGGTTTGACTATATTACCTCAAGAATCTAGTACTTAAATGTCATGAATATGTCTTAGAAATTGCCAGTAGTGCCTTTTGTGGTCACGGTTGCTCTAGATTTACTACGTGGCACTTTAGAATCACTTTGGAAACATTTGTGGCATTTCTGTTTGTTTTATAAAAGAGCAAAATCCTGACACCCCCCCTCCACTTTATAATTCAGTTTCTCCATGGTTACTACCATTCTTCTGCCAAAATTGTTGCTATTCTCTCTCCAGACTTAATTTGCTGACTGCCTTTGAGTTGTCTGTTTCTCTCTGGAATCCAACCTTCAGTCATGTTCAAGGGGTCACTCCCCTTTTAAAGGGCCACACACAGTTAAAAAAGAAACAAATTTTGTGGGTGTTGTGATTGAGGTAATTTTTTTTATCCACAGAACCGCCTTTTGTGTTACCTGTTTCTCAGCTGTTTTATGCATTCTGTCTTCTGCTCATTTATGTCTATATTCTGTCTCCCCAATAGTAATTGAGTCTAATAGCAAATGATCTACATGATCATATTATGTTAAAATACATAATGCTTAAAGTTATTCATATACATTAGATACTTACAGACACATACAAACAGCAATTTTATAAGGCAAAAGTTAAATATATATTTTTTCCCATAATAATAGTTGTAAGTGATGTTTGCTTTGCTGGTGAATGACTATATTTCTTCATTTCAAAGTGATAAGCAATAATGGATTTTTAAAAATGATTGTGTTATGTATTTAGTTTTTCATTAAAAATGATTACATTATGTACTTATTTAGCTTTTACTTAATGTGTGCAGACACATACATGCAGAGGCACAGGTGTGAGGTCAGAAGACAACTTTGGGGAGTCAGTACTCTCTCCACTATGGATCTGAAATTGAGCCCAGGTCCTCCAGGCTTGGTAGCAAGGACCTTTGCCTACTGAATTATCTCAGATGCTCAATAATGGGGTTTTTAGATTTAATTTTCCTGCCTCACTCCCCGACCCCATGCCCACGCCAGTCTGGCAGTGAATTATTTCATCCTCAGGACTTTCTAGTTTCCACTGCTGTGCTAAAGACAGGTAGAACAGGTCTGTGGGATGGCCAGCCCTCTTCTGATGTGTTGGGAACCTAGCATCCAGGATCCTAAGTCAGCACTTAGGATTCCCAGTAGCACCCAGTCTGTAAGTTCAAAGTGGTAGCAGGCATCCAGAAATTATAAGAACCAACTCTAAGCCAAGGGCTGTCAAGAACTGGCCCTGTGTGGGGGTGGGCTACCCAAGCCTCAGTGGATGGCCCACACCTATTTGCATATGGTCAGCACTAATTGGACCTGAGGATAATAAGTATAAAAATAATGACAGTAATACTAATAGCAGTAAAGAATGCATGAAGTCAGGATGGAGGCAGGTTGGTGGGTTCCAGAGAGTACAGGATGAAGGTACTGAGAGGGAGGGCATAGATAAGATCAAAAATACAGTGTTTACGTGGATGAAAATTTCAAAACATAAATAAAACGATCATGCTTTTAAAAAAATTGGCCCTGAAGTTTAGAATTCCAGATTCCCAATTCAAGTTCAAGTGAGTACTCTGGAGCTGGGCAAAGACCATCATGAAGGACTGAGATAGCAGTGTTAGGACCGGTATTAGAGGGGATTGTGATGCCATACTTCAGATCACTGATTGCCGGAAGAAAGATGGAGGAAGAACAGTCAGCCCTCATAGTGGGAATATTCATCCTTTGGTCTTCAGTTTCTATCTTAATTATTTAGTTGGTGATCAAACCTCATGAATTTCGGTACCGTCCATTACAACAGCAATTCCCAGAAACGTATATCCAGCCCTGACTTTATCCCATACTCCAAATCCAGCTGCCTACTTGAAGTCTCCATTTGAATACATTAAAAGGTCTTTAATAAGTCCTAAAGAAGAGTTCTCATTTCTGCCACTGCCCTCCAGCTCCCACATCAGTCTGTTATCTGTAGTTTCCTCTATTAAGGCTGATGTGACACCATTTTCAAATCAAAACTACCATCTAGATTCTGCTCCTGCTCTTACTCTGTCTGAACTTCCCCAAGGTTTTGTTATCACTGTGTCTGGGGCCTTACAGCATGCTTGCAACCTGGCTGCACAGTTCTGTCTCCTTGCACAGATATTAATACATTGGCTTCAGTCACCTAATGTTTTTTTCCTGAGTGGGTTATATGAAAAGAATTCATTTTAGACTGTTTTGTTGTGTCTCCTACATCTTAATATCCCAAGTAACACATCTGCCTTGTTTGGGTTATTTTCCAGCTGAATTGTGTACTGATTGTTCATACCAAGAGAAAGTCTTTAACAGAAAATAATATGTCCAGTGGCTAGAATTTATTTTTATTTTTAAATTCTATCTTATTTATTTGTGTGTTTATGTGTATATGTAGGGCTTGCATGTGCCATAGCTCATGTGTGGGGGGAGGTCAGAGGGCAGTTTGAAGTAGTTGGTCCTCTCCTTCCGCCACATGGAATCCTGGGATTGTCCTAGGTTTATCAGGCTTGTCAGCAAGCTCCTTTCCTCACTGAGCCATCTAACGAACCTAAATTTTTATTTATTTATGTAAATGTTTGTGAAATGCATGATTTCTCTGTTGTTATGGTCCTGTGAAACGCTGAATCGTGAAAACCTAAGTTTGTATTTTCAGCAGTCATGTAAAAACAACAACAAAAACAAGTATAGCAGCATGCATTTGGATCTCCAGCACTGGGTAGGCAGAGGCAGGAGATCCCTGGGGTAAACTAGCTAGTCATTATAGCTAGTTGATGAGCTCAAAGTTCAGTGAGAGGCACTGGTCTAAAAGTAGGGTAGGACAGCCATAGAGGAAGATACTCAACCTCAGTTTCTCCCCTCCCCCACACCCTAAACGCTTACCTAAACCAAGTGTTCTTAATCTTCCAATGTGACATCTGAAAATAAGCCATTGGAAGGCCGGTGAACTCTAGAATTTATACACGGCATTTTATATGTTTATAGACTGTTGTGTTGAAATTAGAGTTTTCACTGGGTACACAGAAGAATCAAAAATGGAGAAGTACCGGCCCTTTCCTGTTTCTATATATCTGTATAAAACAGTTGAACCAGGTTTAACTTTGATGACCAGATATTAAGTGATGAAGCCAAAAAAAAAAAGCATTATCATGAACAGCGATAGTAGCTATGTTTAGGTGACACCTGCTCTGATACCATATTAACTCTGTGATGAGGCTGCACATTGATGTCTGTGCAATTGAACTGGAAGCTATGTTTAGGTGACACCTGCTCTGATACCATATTAACTCTGTGATGAAGCTGCACATTGATATCTGTGCAGTTGAACCCCGGGATATTTACTGAGGTGGTTATAGAGTCTTCCAATTATAGTTTTAAACACTTAGCATTTCTTTTCTTTTTATTTGGTGCTTACACAAACCAGTGAGCATTGCTGACCCTGCTGCCCTTGGCTTCATCATCTCTCCATGGTCGCTGCTGTTGATGCCGTCTGGCAGTGTGTCCTTTACAGATGAAAATATCTCCAATCAGGACCTTCGAGCATTCACTGCACCAGAAGTGCTTCAAAGCCACTCACTATCTTCCCTCTCAGATGTTGAAAAGGTAAATATTGTCTTCATTTCTGTTGTTGTTGTTTCTTATTTTGGTAGAAGTAAGGCAGGTCAAGACAATGGGCCGCCCTTACTCAGTCCATGGAAAAATCCTTTGGATTTAAAATAATCATGTTTTAAGAAAAGATACTGAGCAGAGAAAAATACTTTTTTGGGAAAAGTATTTTAAAAAGGTGAATCATAAATAAATTTTGATGGCTGAAGCATGCACTGTGACATAGACTGCCCAGAGATAAGATGGACACTGTAAGCCCCTGAAGGCCAGGTGAGGATCTACAGTTTATGCAAGGAAAAATGGAGAAGCCACGTAATTTTAAAAAGCAGGAGGGGA